CTAGAGAAAAGAGATACAAACCTTATGGCTTATAAAAATATAGTATGTGTCTACAAGAATATTCCTTAAATTTTCATCATATCCCCTTAAATTTTTTTTCATCCAGGAAAAACACAGACCAACAAAATAAGGATGTCTTAAGTATGACAAAGAAATCTATGCTTTGAAAATGTTATAGATGTTCAATTCATTAATTATGCATATTTAAGTAGCTGATGAAAATTTTATAAGGAGACTACTGTGGTGTAGAATGCTAGCATTTAGCGTGGTATCATTTATCTAGCGAAATAATATACAGTGATTAAAATCCACTAAACAGTAAATATCTAGCCATATACAGAAATATGCTGCGAAAATATTTTGTATAGTTTCTACTACTTCTAAACTTCTTCCACACTGGGCTTGAAGTCTCGCTGTTCAATATGCTTTTGAGTGAAATGCACTCCAATACCTGGACATAATGCCTATTCAACATTCAGAAAGAAGAGCGCATACTGTCTGCTAACGTGGCAAAAGCAAGGCCCCCCCCAGTCAAAAAGAAACAGAACATTTCTGAGAGGATTCAGAGACACGTGTGTTGCGTGGACCGTGCACCGACTGTAAGGAATAACATTTCACAGACAAACTACACGGCATTCAAGAGCAAGGCTCTTGCTCTGAGTTAAAGATGGTGGAGTAGGAAGATCTGAGCTCACTTCTCCTCACTGACACCATAACTACAACTACTACATAAAGAAGAGGTATCTCCTAGAATGACCTAAGACCAGCAGAACACATTTTCCACAATTACGGATCTAAAGAAAAAGCCCAATGGAGAAGTAGGAGGGGTAGAGACTCAGTTAGGACCCACGCTATTACCACTCCCCACGCAGCTGCCCACAAGTGAGAGGGATATCACAAGGGCAGAAGTCCCCCCGTAAAGAGTGGGGGGTCTGCGCCCCAACCTGGGCACCTGCAAGAGGAAGAGGAGCCCTCATAACATCTGTCTTTGAAAACCAAACAGGGCTTACATCTGGGGAGCCGAAGGGCTGAGAGGAAACCACGCCTGCGCGCTGAGCCCCAGTGCAGAGGCAGCAGTTTGAAAAGCACCCGGGCCATGTGTGAAAGTGATACAGAGACTGCTTTTAGGGTGTGTGTTGGAGGGACAGGTATCTGCTGGAATTTTCTCTTGAGTCAGAAGTGCTAGTGGGTGCCAACTGTCCCTTTCTTTATTCTCCTACCTAGCTGTTCTGACACTAGCAAGTACCGTTTCTGACCTTCTTCATTAACCTTGCTAACAATATTTTTCAAAAAAATATTTTTATTGATTTTTAGAGAGAGGGGGAGAGGGTGAGAAACGCTGATGTGAGAGCAAACTATCAATCGGCTGCCTCCTGCACACTCCACTGGGGATAGAGCCTGCAACCTGGGCATGTGCCCCGACTAGGAATCAAACAGCAACCATTCGGTGCTCAGGACAACCACCACCCAACCAACTGACCAACACTGGCCAGGGCATGCTAATACTATTCACCCCACCATGGCATTTCCCTGATGACCCACCCAAGCTGGCACCCTGCCAAAGCAACTCCTTCCCTGCTACACCTGGCGGGCGGCCTTAGTCAGCACCAGTACACAGCAGTGTGTCTGCAACAGTTGAGACTGGGCCTTGCAGCAGCTACACTGACAGTCTGTACTGAACACCAGTGTGCCCGTAACAGTTGTGGCAAAGCTACATAGACACCCTAGCCAGGAACCAGCCTCGCCTACCAGTGTGTCCTTAGCAGCTGTGGCCCAACCACAACAGGAGGCCACACTATTTCATACAGGGAACACCTCTGAAGTACCTGACTCTGGTGACAAGGGAGAATTCTACCTCTGGGCCCCACAAGACACCCTCTAAGTAAGGCCACTTTTTCAAGACCAGGAGATGTAGCTGATTTACCTAATACATAGAAACAAACAGGCAAAGTGAAGAGACAAAAGAATATGTTCCAAACAATAAAACAAGAAAAGCCTCAGAAAAATAACTAAGCAAAACGAAGGCAAGCTGTCTCCTAGAAAAGAGTTCAAAGTAATAGCCATAAAGAGGCTCCTCAAACTCTTTAGACAAGTGGATAGACCCAGTGAGAACCTGAGATAAAAATTATTTAAAAAAAAAAAGAAAGAACCTATCAGAACTGAAGAATGTAACAACTGCAATGCAAAAATACCCTAGAGGAAATCAACAGCAGATCAGATAATTCAGAAGAATTGATCAGCGATCAGGAATAAAGGATAATGGAAATCACCCAACTGGAAGATGAAAATGAAAAAGGAATTTAAAATAATGAGGGACCTAAGGGACAACATCAAGTGTACTAACACTCATGTCATAGCAGTCCCAGAAAGAGAAGAGAGAGAGGGAAAAGGACAATAAACCTATTTGAAGGAATAATTGGTGAAAACTTCCCTAACTCAGCAAAGGAAACAGATATCCAAACTCAGGAAGCATAGAGAGCCCCCACACAAAATGAACCCAAAGAGACCCACATCAAGACACATCATTTTTGAAATGTTAAAAGTTAAAGAAAAAAATCGTAGAAGCAGAAAGAGAAAAACAACTAAATCCATATGAGGGAATGCCCATAAGACTATGAGCTATTTTTTAACAGACACTTTGCAGGCCAAAGGGATTGGCAAGACATATTCAAGGGAATATAGTTGACAAAAAAGGAAAACCTACAACCAGAATACCCAGCAAGATTATCTTTCAGAATTGAAAGAGGTAAAGAGGTTCCCAAAAAGCAAAAGCTAAAGGAGTTTATCACCACTAAACCAGCATTACAAGAAATGGTAAAGAGAATCCTTTTTTTAAAAAATGTTTGTTGTTACTGATTCTCACCCAAAGCTATTTTTTCCACTGATTTTGAGAGAGAGAGGGAAAGGGAGGGGGAGAGACACATCGGTTGGCTGCCTCCCACATGTGCCCTGACCAGGATGGGGATCGAGCCTGCAACTGAGGTATGTGCCCTTGACCAGAATCAAACCTGAGACCGTTCAGTCTGAGGGCCAACACTCTAACCCAGCCATGGGCAAACTATGGCCCATTTGAAATGAATAAAACTAAAAAAAAAAGAAAAAAAAAAGACCGTACCCTTTTATGTAATGATGTTTACTTTGAATTTATATTAGTTCACACAAACACTCCATCCATGCTTTTGTTCCGGCCCTCCGGTCCAGTTTAAGAACCCATTGTGGCCCTCGAGTCAAAAAGTTTGCCCACCCCTGCTCTAACCACTGAGCCAAACGGGCTATAGGGCTAAAAGGAATTATTATTATTTTTTTTTTAGATATATGTTTATTGATTTCAGAGAGGGAGAGAGAGCTACAAACATCAGTGATGAGGGAGAATCATTTATTGGCTGCCTCCTGCACGCCCCCTACTGGGGATCGAACCCACAACCCGGGCATGTGCCCTTGCCCAGAATCAAACCCAGGACCCTTCAGTCCACAGGCCAATGCTCTATCCACTGAGCTAAACCAGCTAGGGCAAAATGAATTCTTTAAGTGAAAAAGAAAAGGCCAAAACTAGAAATAAGAAACTGAAAGAAAAAAAGATCGCATTAGTAAAGGCAAACATATAGTAAAGATATAACCACTTATAAAGCTAGTATGCAAACAATTAAAACGGCAATACCTATATACCTAAATGTAATGGACTAAGCGTTCCATTTAAAAGACACACGGTATCTAAATGAATAAAAAAACTAGACCCAAGAGAGTCACTTCAGATCCAAAGACACACAGACTGAAAGTAAAGGGATGGAAACAGATATTTCATGAAAATGGAAACAAACAAAAAAAGCTAGGGTAGCAATGCTTATACCAGACAAAATAGACTTTAAAACAAAAGTTATAACAAGAGACAAAGAAGGACCCAATAATTCCACTTCTGGGAATTTATCCAAAGAAAACTGAAAACACTAATTCAAAAAGATACATGCAGTCCTATGTTTATTGCAGCATTATATACAATAATGGAAGCAGGCTAGGTGTCCATCAACAGATGAACAGGTAATGAAGATGTAGTATACATATACAATGGAATATTACTCAGCAGTAATAAAGAACGAAATCTTGCTATTTGTAACGACATAGGTAGACCTAGAGGCTATTATGCTTAGTAAAATAAGTCAGAGAAAGACAAATACTACATCATTTCACTTATCTGTGGGATGAAAAAAACTAAATAAATGAACAAAACAAACAGACTCATAGATACAGAGAACAAACTGCCAGAAGGTGGGGAGGTGGGGGGATAGGCAAAAAGGCGAAGGGGATTAAGCGGTACTAACTTATAGTTATAATATAAGTGAGTCATGGGAATATAAAGTACAGCACAGTGAATACAGTCAATAATATCTCAATAACTTTTTTTTAAATATATATTTTATGGTTTTTTCCACAGAGAGGAGGGGAGAGGGATAGTCAGAAACATCCATCAGCTGCCTCCTGCACGCCCCCTACTGGGGATGTGCCTGCAACCAAGGTACATGCCCCTGACAGGAATCGAACCTGGGACCCTTGAGTCCACAGGCTGATGCTCTATCCACTGAGCCAAACCGGTCAGGGCAATATCTCAATAACTTTGTACAGTGACAGATGGTTACTAGACTTCTTGCATTTATAAGGTATATAAACGACAAATCACTATGTTGTACACCTGATACTAATATATATTGTATGTCAATGATACTTGAATTAAAAAGAGCTTTACATTCCAGAATGAAAAAGAACATTTCTGAGGTTTTCTTATAGAAAAATGGCAATATCCACTGATATAAGAAAGCATAAGAATTTTTTTAACACTGAAAGATATTGAATATACTTCATTATTCAGACATAGATACAAGTCAACAAGTAGAAAAGTGAACACAGAATTTAAGATAGCTTTTAACCATAGGTTTAAAATACAAATAGAAAACACATAAATAAACCAATATCCAAATAACAGAAATGATTATATCGAACATACTTACCATTGAAAGGATTGATTCCTGCCCTTATTCTTGAAATAATAGCTTCTTTTACTTCTTTTTTCTTTACACATCGAATACCCAAATTTTGAAAACTAGAAAGAAAAAAACAGAACTGTCAAAATGCACTATAGTTAAACACATAAATACCAAAGAATATCCTAAGTATTAAGCATCCATCCAACAGAGAAGAGTCTCCATACTGTCAGATGGAGATGATAAAGCATGTTGTAAGTTTCCAACTGCTATAATAAAGGTATGAGGCTAAAAAAGTGGGGTTAAATTCTAAGAGAACTGTTAAAAGAAAAATAATGCATACCATATAGCTGTTGCATACAGTATTTTACAGTTATACCTTATTAATATGCGTAGGTCAAATATACCAAAGTAGGTAAAGATTAACAGGGAAGTGACATCAAAAAGCTAAAATTCAGCCCTAGCGGGTTTGGCTCAGTGGATAGAGAGTCCGCCTGCGGACTAAAGGGTCCCAGGTTCGAATCTCGTCAAGGGCATATGCCCGAGTTTCAGGCTTGATTTCCATTGGGGGACATGCAGAAGGCAGCCAATCAATGATTCTCTCTCATCATTGATGTTTCCATCTCTCTCTCCTTCTCCCTTCCTCTGAAATCAATAAAAATATATATTTTTTAAAAAGCTCAAATTCACCTCCTAACCAAATTCATTATCAAATCAATAAAATCTGTATATTTGATAATGTAAAGCAAAAGTTATAAAAGATGCCCACAGGCTGAAGCCCACAGGTATATTTTGCTGAGCCCATAAAAGTGTTGTCTACATTAAAAGAAATGTTCATAGACTACCAACATTTAAAAATCAGGTAATTGCATACTAATGTCTGATTTCTGGTTTCTTGCCCGTTTTAAAGGTCTGCCGACAGTAGGCTGGTTCAGAAACACCTTGCTGAAGCTGAAGGAGGGCTCTCCAGTTTGCTATGGTGCCTGCGAGTCCTCTCACAGCTGGCACACTCCACTCCACAGACACTTGTTATTTGAGCCCTGACTACACTGCTAGTAGCGGTTCCAGCAGTGATATTTTATGTCACATTATATGAAGTTATAATAATCAATCATCATAAGAAAGCACTGAAATGTGTTCTTTAATTAGAAAGATGTTTGATACTAACAATAATATTTAACAAAAGTTTCAAAATGTCATTTATGGAAAACTTCTCAATAGCTACAAATATTACTAATTTGCATGTGTACTACAGATGATGGTTGGGGGAACTCCCCTACCACCACCAGTCATACTTGTTCCCACATGGAAAAACCATGACATCATTCAAGATGGGTGGGTGTGAATAAGGAAGCAAAACTGATTATAATAACATTCCTATTTGTTCAAACTTCACAGGGCACTTGCAACAGGAGGCTGCCTGCCTGCCTGCCCCTCTCCAGGCTCATGCTGCTCATGCTCTTCACATTTACCGCACTGTGATATTGTCAGCACCTAAACTATCCTTGACATTTCTTTCCTCTGCCTCCAATAACTAAAAAAAAATGAGTCTTGAATTCATAATCCTTTCTTGAAACCCCAAAACCACAATCCTCTTCCTCAAAAGTATTCTGCTTCTTTGAAAGAAAGATTCTTAGCTTGGTTCTTTTTCTTTGATAAAAGATTGTGAAGAATCCTCCCCTTTAATATATTTTTACACTACTTGATTTAGTTTCATCTGAATCGTATTTGACTGCTAGTCACAGATTAGAAGCGGTAGAGATTCCTGAAATTCTGACAGGAGGAAACCAAGGATCATAGAGATTACTTGAATCATACATTCATTCGTTCATAGTCATTCAACAAGTTTTGGGGTTCTTACCATGTACCAAAAACTCTGGGAAAATGGGGGTTTATAATCCTTCCCTTCTCGAAGTTCAGTCTAGTGCAGGGCGTGGCCAACTACAGTCCATGGACCAAATCTGGCCCCCTGCCTGCTTTTTCAAGCAGAATTTTATCGGAGCACAACTCAACGGATTTGCTGATGTGCTTTCATGCTGCCCCAGCAGAGCTGAGAAGTTGCCACAGAGACCATATGGCCTGCAAAGCCTCAAATATTTACTCTCTGGCCCTTTACGGAAGAAACTGGCTAACCTTTGGTGTAGTGAAGCAGATGGACATTAAGGAATCACACACACAAAAACGCTAAACTGAAACCATGACAATTTTTATAAAGGAGATGGACATGCTGCCACGAGAGCCCTATGAGGGGAAAGAAGCGGTCAACTCAGGGAAGGCGGACAGGCTTCTCATCAGAAGTGACACTTACTATGAACAGAAATGAACGAGGGGAAAAGGAGAGTCAAGAGACTTCCGGCCGAAGGAAAAGAACATGCCAAGGAGCCTACGGAAGAGCACTGTGAGCCCCGGAAGCTAAAGGAAGGCCTCACGACTGCAGCATGGCGGTCAAGGAGAACACCGCAGACCAGAAGGCTGGAGATACAAGCAGGTCACGTGGGCTTCTGAGGAATGTTGTCCTAATCCCAAGAGTCACATAAAGCCATTAACATGTTTTAAGCAGAGATGTGACCATCAGATTTGTATTTCAAAAGATCACGCTGAATAAATAAATTTATTTATTTAAAATTTTTTTTTAGAAAGATCACTTTGGCGAAAGCGGAGGACACAAAAAGAGCTGACGGGAGGAGAGCAGTCAGAGGCTCTTCTTCGTAGCCCACATTTAGACGACCGCGTCGGTAGCGGGAAGTGAGGGAGGTTACTGAGACAAGTGGAGAGACAGAGTCAAGAACTCTTTAGGAAGTACCCATCAGTGAACTCAACGTGTGCACCTGTGTGAGAGGTGTCAAGGATGAAACTATGTTTGGGGCTTTTACAGCAACCACTTAGATCAGCGGTCGTCAACCTTTTGGGCCTCACGGACCACCAACTGGCGACCGCTGACTTAAGGTACATTAGGAGACCGATTTTGAGAGGCTGGCGAAATGATTATATAAGAGCATGGTGTGGGGCGTATTCTATTTGAGGTTCTTTTGAGATATTTAAGAGAATATGTCAAAAAGACAATCAGACTGAGTACATTCCCCACTGAAAAAACTAGGGCTCTTGAGAAAAGAGCTGATTTCAGGGCAGTGGCAAGAAAAGGAGAAGTAAGTCTTGAACACTTTGTTGTGTCAGGAAGTAAAGAAGTGCTTAAAGAAATATGGGGCCATGTCCAAAGGACAGTGGAAACAGACTGAAGGGGCCTGAATTAGTCCAGTCTGGGTCAATCTGAAAATCAAAACAATGTCAGTACACTGACCATAAAAATCCATGGGTCTATAGCAGTGATGGCGAACCTTTTGAGCTCGGCATGTCAGCATTTTGAGAAACCCTAACTTAACTCTGGTGCCGTGTCACATATAGAAATTTTTTGATATCTGCAACCATAGTAAAACAAAGACTTATATTTTTGATATTTATTTTATATATTTAAATGCCATTTAACAAAGAAAAATCAACCAAAAAAAAATGAGTTCACATGTCACCTCTGACACGCGTGTCATAGGTTCGCCATCGCTGGTCTATAGTGTTATTCTTTTTATATGGGGAAGGGTAAAATGGGAAAGTTTTCTCTACAGTAGAATGCCAATTAATATCACAAGTGGGAAAAACTAATATCATGTCTCCTGAAGAGATATTTTGAGAAGAATACAGCATCGCCTCTGTAGATTCCTTGTCCAAAATGTTTCATATTAACATGAAAATATCATTCATGCTATTCATGGGAACATGGATATAATTAGGAGCAACCATTCAGACGAATCCATATTGAACAACAATATTCAAAACAAACAGCCTACACGTTTCAACAATGTTAACATCATGAAAGATGAAAAAAGGCTGGGAACCTGCTCTAAATTAAAGGAGACTAAATAAGCATGACAACTCAATATACGTACAATAAAGGCCTGCGTTCTTGTCCAAATTCTGCTTCATAGTAGCCATCTCTGCAGTCTTTTCCTACTAAGTCATGAGGATGAGGTTTAAAGGGGTCATTCTTTGTTACTAATGTAATTCTCACTTTTCCTTTTCCATAACAGTTCTTAATCTGAAAAAGAAAGAAATAAATGATCCATAAATATTCCTCTTGAAGAACTATTCTACTAAATGAAGGTTCAATTTATATAATGTGGCTAATACTGTATCCAGTTGGCTGACAACTGCAGTTTGGATGAAACCTGCCAAGAATACCAGTAGCGAAGAATTTACCTCTCAGTTCCTTGGCATATTAATTTCAATTGGCCATTGTCATCTGATTCTGCTTAGTTTCCTTTTAAAAACAAGTAAAATTATACCAAAATGTTATCACAGTGCATGAGAAAATACTTAATCATTAAGTCACCAAATGCCATGCTCTTAGATTCACTGTCATACCATAAACATCCCTTCAAAGTATATACTTAAGCCATGGATATGATAGCACACCAATACATAGGACCGTTTTATTTAATATGTGACATTTCAGCTCACAAAAATAGTTGTTCATCAGTTAGCTATCCCAAGTGTTTGCTGTACAGCAGGCAATAAATCAAGTTGAGTTTCACAAAATTGTTTTCACACAGTAAGTACATCTAGGACACTGAGAATAAAGAGGAGGGTTAAACATGGAAAAAGGGTATTCTGAGCATGGGAAGGAAGAGAAGGTTCAGTTTGGAAGATAGGAAGTTTGCAAACACAAAGCAGGGAATATGAAAACCAGATATGACAAAGGAGCAAAGCAGTTACATAATGATGGGTAGCTTTACAGGTAAGAGGACACTAAAATCCATAATCCTGAATTTAAACTTAATTTGAAAAGCAACCAGGAAGTATTTATTGCCTTTCTGAATAAAAGAGACAGTAACCACTTAAAACTGTAATATAGGCTGATGTAAAACTCAAGATGTAAAGGGTTCGGAACCTACTGGATCTTAGAAATATTTTAGAGAATGTACAGAACAAGCTGAATTATGGAATGCTACCTTTTAGTAGCATTTCTCTCATTTTAACATTTAAACAAAAGGACTTAGATAACTCAAATCCATATTGCTGCCAAAAAAGTGACAAAAATTAGGATCTTACAATTCAATTAATTTTGCCATTGCTTTATTCTATAATTTAGCCTTCCCCTTAAGTTGAATAGAATAAACTTTGTAAACAAGTTAGTTATAAAACAGTGAATTAACATCTGTTGAGGAAAGACTAAATAACGCTTTTCAAAATCCACTCTGCCATTCAAATTTTTAACTGGCATTTAACGGATAAAAATTCATTAAAAATAAAATGAAATATAGTATATTTTTATAAGTAGAATATACTGTCATTTTGGATCAAAAACTACTTTTAAAACTTATGCTAACATCACAAACTATTTAGAAAATGACTATATTTCAAATAAGTCAATGAAACCCAGAGTATCAGGGATAGATAATAAAGGCAAGGAAAAGGGAGGTAAAAACGTTCATTCTCCTTTCCCGTAGACCCTAGTTTAGCCAAATGATTGTAGAAAGAATTCTGACTGGGTTCCCAAATCCACGTCTTTAATCTACGGAATAACTTTGCTCACTGCTGGAAGGAGGGAATGCTTTCTCCTCATTAGCTCTGTGTTTCACGAGAGGAATCATCACCCCAAAACTGCCAATGTACACTAAGCACTGTGAATCACTCTACTTAGATTAACACACAAACGAAGCTATCAGCAGGGATGAAGAATCCATACTATAGTTAAGAAATGACCCTAGACAGCTACTTAGTACAAACCAATCCTATATAATAAAAGCCTAATATGCAAATCGACCGAATGGCAGAATGACCGGTGGAATGGCTGGCGGCTATGATGCGCACTGACCACCAGGGGGAAGATGCTCAATGCAGGATCTGCCCCCAGGCCAGCCAAGGTGGGTGCCAGCGGCACTCCCTCGCTCCCTCCCCCCGCCCCCACCGCCAGTCACCTCACAGAGGAAGGCAGCAAAGGGTGGGGCCAGCAATCGCCCCGCCAGTCGCCCCACAGATCGGCCCTGATTGCTGGCCAGGCCTAGGGACCCTGCGTGTGCACAATTTCGTGCACTGGGCCTCTAGTTAAAAAGAAGAAGAAAAGCCCATGGAAATGACTGTAAAGAAACTGGGCCTTTAATGCAATTGCTGTAGCTAAAATATGAAGCAACTAAGAGTGAGACACAAACACAGGAGAACAGTCCATTACCTGGATAGACGGGTATGTTCGGTTGTTGTCTGTGCTGTGCTCCCCTGGAATGCTGCCCGCTGATCGCCCTTCACATTTGTATCGAAAACGCATTCCCCGCTGCCTGGGTTGTTCAATTATCTCTATATATGGGTTATACCCACCTGAAATTTAAAAAAAAAAAGGGGGGGGAGGAGCGTAAGATTCAAATAGCAATAATAATGGATATCAACCATTTCATTTTTTAAAAAACAGCAGACTAAAATATTTTCCCTCCCAAATTAAATAACAAGGTTTAAAATCTAAGATTGGGTGGCAAAGACACCTTTTTCTCCCATTCAAATTGAGCTCCAAATCAAGTTAACACACATCATTCAAATCATATTCATTGGTTAGCACTTTATCGCTTAATATCTAGAGCTAATGCCAATGTGAAGTTCTGAGACAGCCACTTTAGGGATACCCATTTCTCACATGACACCAAGCAGAAGGGTTTCTTTCTCCCAAGGTTCCCCCAGAAGAGTCAAGAAGAAAATCTTTAGAAGTTCAATGTTATACTCCAAAACTGAGTTGAACAAACAGCTTGATTTTACCTCAGACTCTTAATAGTGGACTAAAAGACTACTCATTGGAAATGTAAATGCATTTAAAATCCTTGCAGTCAATGGACTTTTACAGAGTATATCAAAACAAGTTCCACAAGGGGCTTCAATAATTTTCAATCAGTCTCATCTAAACCTTTCTAAGGTATAAGATACCATGACGGAAAAGAAAATAATTATTTCTATAACAAATACAATTCAAAATATGCAACTTTAGAATGAACTACTGATAAACACGACAGATGAATCTCAAAATAATTATACTGAGCAAAAGCCAGGCTTAAAGAGCACGTGCTGTACGATTCCATAGATATAAAACTCTAAAATATGTAAAATAATCTATAGTGTCAGACCGCAGATTAGGGGTTGGAGTGGATGGGGAAACTGGGGGAAATGGGGCATGCTAATTATCACAATTGTAAGCAATGATTTCAAAGCGGTATATATGTCAAAACTTACCAGAACAAAAAAAGGGGACATATGTAATACTTACAATAAAGAATTATTTTAAAAACAAACACCAGAATGCATACTTTAAACAAGTGCAATTTAATATATGTCAATAAAGCTCTCTAAAAAATATATACCTTACCCACCCCCTTATCCAAATTGTGGAAACAAAAGTTCACTAAAATGTGCTTACAAATAGAATACCTAGCAATGTGTCTTTGTTTCAGACACATGAAGAGAACTTCCATCAATGAAAACCCTTCCTCAATCACTTTAGTTATTTCTAAATTGCCTCAATTAGATATCCATTTTTGTGTGCTCAGTTCAGCGGCCTTTACACTAAAATTAGGTATCCTTTTTTAATATATACTATAGACTTATTCCGTGTTAGACTGCAAACAAATCTTCAGAAATGGGTAACACAGTGGGTCTTAGTGCATTACGGATTCAAAGGAAGAAGCCTTTGAGTCTTACCAAACTAAACCTTAACAATGAAAACCTTGTAAATGTTATTAAATTTCTTAAACCTCCCACTGCATAAAATGGAGCTAATAACAACGGTTCTGCCTCAGTGGGCTGTTGTGAGAATCAGACATAAAGTGTTAGGTTCTTACCAAGTGTCTCAAATATAACAATCGATTCTTTCAGGTGCTTTCTTAAAAACAATGATTTATAGTGATACCATGATGGTATCACAACTGCTACTTTCAAGGATTTTACAGAACAGGTAGGCAAACAACACGAAGGAAAATAGGAGTTAATGAAGCAAAAAGGTGGAGAGGGAGGGAGAAGGGGAACAGGTAGGCAATCTAAGAAAAGGAAACAGTGTGTCCAAAGGTGTACCAGTATAGAAGATACAGCTTCAATGGAAGAGAAGATTTTAAGAATGACCAAAATAGCCTGGATGGGAATGGGGTGCCTTTCCCTTGCTTAGAAAGAGACCCAAAAGCCAGAGTACATTTAGGGATTTGGATTTTATTCTCTGAGTGTCAATCAGTGAATGATTTTATGCAGGGGAATCACATGATCAGATTGGAATTTTCAAATAAGAATTCTGGTGGCAATAAAACAGATTGAAAAGAGAAAGCAAGGTGATCAGTTTTAGAGGTTGTTACAATAATATGAGTTATGATGAGAGTATGTCTGAAATATGGTAGTAATAATAGAAATGAAGGATTATTTAAAAGATAAAATTGACAGTACCTGGTGACTGACTGAACATTAGGGTTAAGAAAAAGAATCCTTGCCCTAGCTGGTTTGGCTCAGTGGGTGGAGCGTCGGCCTGTGGATTGAAGGGTCCCGGGTTTGATTCTGGTCAAGGGCACATGACGGGGTTGTGGACTTGATCTCCAGTAGGGGGCATGCAGGAGGCAGACAATCAATGATTCTCTCTCATCATTGACATTTCTATTTCTCTCCCCCTCTCCCTACCTCTCTGAAATCAATAAAAATTAATATGTATATATTAAAAAGAAAAAGAATCATTGATGGCTCCATAGTTTCTACTTTGGGTTACTGAGTAAAGAATTACTGTCATCATTAATTTTATTCTGTTTGGATCAGGCTTCCTGCGTTTGACTCTACTACCTATTTGTTTATTCAAAAGACAAAGAACCAGAAAAAAAATGAATTTAACCTAATCAAGTTCATAACACTTATTTCAATTTTACAGGGAAAAAAGTAGGCATGCAGATATTTCATATCCTTATATATTTTTGTATATTTAAAGTAATTCAAATCCACATTTCAGTTTCAAATATCTCACATGCTTATATATCCTTGCAGGAATATTTAAAATGCAATACATTTTTCTTACAATAATTCAAAATACTCAAAAGATTTTTAAAAATTTTTAAAGTGATATCTTAAATCATTTATGTGGTTGAACTAAAGGTCAAATAAATCCCTGCCCACTACTTAAAGGTTGTCTTGGTGGGAAGTTGACATAGAATGACATCATTAAGGGTAAGTGGCTAACTTTTGGGGGAGGAGTGTGAACAAAAATGCTAGGCTCAAAATGAGAATTCAAATGATTTCATTGGTTACACAACACTTCCTTAAACTAGAAAGTGTTTATGAAGAAGTCTATACACAAGAGAACAGAAAAGCAGTTGTTAAAAATTAAATAATACATTTTAAAAAGATTCTTTTTAAAAATATATTTTATTGATTTTTTACAGAGAGGAAGGGAGAGGGATAGAGAGTAGAAACATCGATGAGAGAGAAACATTGATCAGCTGCCTCCTGCACACCCCCTACTGGGGATGTGCCCGCAACCAAGGTACATGCCCTTGACCAGAATCGAACCTGGGACCCTTCAGTCTGCAGGCTGACACTCTGTCCACTGAGGCAAACCGGTTAGGGCTAAAAAGATTTTTTAAGTTATAAAAATGACATATTAGTTATATAACATCAAGTACTTAAAAAAAACCTTGAACTCTATTCTTCCTATTGTAGAAGCTCTCTATTGGTAAAAAGTCTTACCAACAACCAGAGTTTATTGTAATATTCTACATTCCTCCAGTTGGAAATTATCTTCCCCTACTCTAAACTACCATACTATTTTGTTTATGGCAATTATTCCAAATAACTATAATAACTATAATGTAGGGAAGACTCACTATTTCTACTTGAAAAAAAACTACTTGTTTTATTTCTTTAAGCTACTTGAAGGCAGGAATTGCGTCTTACTCATTGGTGTCTTGCACACAGATATTCAGTACATATCTGTTGAATGAATGAATAGAAATCTAAAGATCTTTTTGTTTGTGTAAGTTATGCATTCATGATAATCAGGTTTTCTTCAATAGACTCCACCTACTATGGAAAAAAAATAGTGCTTTGTATGTGCTAGAATGGCTACATCTTCATACTCCTCATATCCATTTATATTCTGATTTCTTTATATGTATTTGTTTTTTAAAAACTTCCAGCTATAAATCATTTATATCATGTATCAGTACTCCAGTTACTTCCTTCCTCAATTCCTTGTTTTGAATATAAATCAGGGAATTGCAAGGAAAAGGAGTACTCAACTCAAAACACTATCTCAAATCACTAAAGTTTAGAAAAGCACTGAAAAGTCTTCAAAATTGGTTCCAAACAAATTGATGACTGTGCTTTTCTTTAATTAATAAACTGGGATTGGCCCCTATATTTTGAATATTATAAAAAGCCAATACAGACCAGAATAACATCTGAAATATAGCCAAAATGTTTGCAAGAGATATGTATGGTCTTGCCTGCACGTATGCAAAAAGTGCTATTTTAAAACAGTGCCTACCTAACAATGTATGAGTTTATAAGATTAAAAAAAAAAGAAATTACACTGAAATAAAAGTTAAAAATGGATCAACTGTCAGAAATAGCCACATTATAAACTAAAACTGTATTGCTAGAATTGGAACCAGCATTAATTATACAGTGAAAAAATGTTAATTATAGTAGTTATAACACTATCTTTAAGCACCTTATCATTTCTCATATGATCCTTTTATAATTTTATTCTTCATAAGAATAGAATAGAAATTATCATCCCATCTTACAGATAAAACTAAAGCTCAAAATTATATGAAATTATGAAGACATTAGCAAATATGACAGCTGAGATACCAACAATAAGCATAAAAACAGCTGAGGATAAATTCACAATAACTGATACAGCAAATAACCTAAAATAGAGGCAACTTAGGTGAAGAAGATATGCATCTTGCTACCGGCAGGTGCATATTTAGATCCAGTGATATTCCTGGAACAGAGTTCATCCTGGGGTTGTCAATAAGAATCACCTAGGTAGCTTTCAAAACATACACATCCCCTGGGCCCCACCTGAGGTCTGCTGAACAGAAACAGATCCATCTAAAGCCCAGACATGTTCCTGAAAAAGCCTCCCAAGCAATTCTAACACATTCCTGATTAAGAACCACTGCCCTGGAACATGAAGAAGTGGAAACAATGATGCACATATCTGGAGAAGTAATCTAAAAATTCACATACAAGTATAGGCTGGGTGATAGATAAACTAGGCAGAAGAATTCTGACTGCTTGTCACTCCTCTTCCCCTCCCTCCCACTCTAAAAAGCTTATCCAAATGCAAGCAAAGGGGAGGAAACATTACTATAAGGATAGCCTTTA